ACCCCTGTACTTGCCTGTCAGGAAGCTACCATCAACAAGTACTAAGGGCCGACAATGCTTGAATGCCTCCATGGACTGAGCAAAACACCAAAAACTCTCTATAGAACATGCTTCAGAATGCCATCCATGTCCATGACAATGCGACCCACATGAGGATGCCACCTAAGTCCTAGATTGAAGTGTTTCATGGCACTTAGAATCTTAGGAACTTGGTTGTATGCCTCTTTCCAATCGCCCCATAGCAACTCTATAGCATGCTGCTTTGCCTGCCATGGCTTTGAGTACTTCACTCTATAACTAGTAAACCCAAATATGGTCTCGATCATGCTTGAAATAGATGTGTCACTATCAGCCCTAACTGTGCCAACAAGACGACGACCAAGGTAATGGGCTGTGTTTTGGGCGTGCACACCCTTCGGCTTCGAAGATCGACGCATGTGAGGGTGCCTCACATTGCGAATCTTCCACTTTTTGTTTCTCTACCTCCGAGCCCATAGACCCCATTGACATCCATTCTTGCAAAGCACCATGTACCTCTTGTTCTTGTCCGAGTGGCTCACATAATATGGCCTGTGAAACCTAACGACATAATCCATCAGGAAATACTTGAGATGCTCTAGCATATCAAATACCATTCCCTTCTTAATCTCCACCTCCTCACTATCTAGTACCCCATTGGCCAACAATGTCAAACCGGTGTCACATATTGCCTGGTCAACCAGACTAATGTCCATGAAATTTGGTACCGAGGGTACATCGACATGGATAGCCTTCAATTGCCTCAATTAGACGTCATTGTACTCCATTCTCAATGACCCATAAGCTTGGACTCCTATTGCATATGCAAACCCTCCCTCACAACAATCACTTTCATTCTCGCTACTAGGCTCAGACCTATACTCGTTCTCCAACACATCATCCGAAGTACTTGGCCCTGAAGTAAAGTCATCTTCGTCCGTGGAGGCAACATCAATTTTGTCATCCTCTGATCCTTGGGATGTCATCCATATCATGTGTTCCATCTCCATTGCCATCGTCCTCATCAAACATTTCTTCATCGAAATCATCATTCAAGGCACCGGGCTCACATAACCTATCAACTTCTCTAACGACAACCGCCTATAACTCTTTGTCTTGGGTAACGTTCTCTATGGGCTTCATATCCACATTATCATCTATAGCCACCACAATTGGACTACACCCCTTCTCCACAACAACTTCCAAGCACCTAACACTGCTACTCTTGACAACTTCTATGTAGTTCTTCCATTCATCCTCACATGACAACGACATCAACACATAGTGTGCTTGTTCCTTCCCACAGTCAAATCGTCCTCTCAATCTTAGTGGCCACCCAAATTTATCCTGGCATTGGCTAACCAAACCATCAAAGGTAGGAGGTGTACTAAATACCTGAACATGTTCTTGCATGCTTTCAAACTCCCCATTTCATTTAACTTTGCCACCATAAAACAATCGCACTAACCGATCCATCTACAAAATATGAACGAACACATCAACAACACATGAACTACGCATTTTGGAAACAAATCATATCCATTGACTAATACACAACAATAACACAAACTTCACAGTGATGTCAACAAAGGCAACAAACATATCGATCTAAATCCTCCATGCATCAACTACCTACATCCATTCAACACGTAATTTACGTCCAATCCATGGGCAGAGTATATCCTAAACCTAATCGATGCATCATATACTAACAACCAACAGTAAAAACATTCATAATATACCAAATTTCCTAACCCTAGTCATGCAACTAATGAGGCACAAGAAATTAAGAAAAAGAGGGGGGGGGGGAGATCAACCTGGCGGTGTACTTGAGTCCACGGAGCAGGGAGGTCACGGACCACGTTGGGGGAAGCCTTGCCGGCGGCGCCACCACGGCAAGGCGCCGATGAGGTGAGGAGCCGGCCTGCTCTCCATGGTGTCGCTCCCCTACCGCACAAAGGGAGAGGGAGAGAGAGGGTAGTAGGAGCAGCCGCTCAACTCGTCGGTGGCATGGGCAGAGACGGCACGGGCAGTTGGGGTCATGTGGTGGCGGCGGTGGCGCCCAGGCGCGTGGTGGAAAGGAGAGGGAGAGCGAGAGAGACAAAGAAAAGTGGACCGGGTTGGCCAAATCCTATATGGCCATGTCACGTGATTAGGACATCCCAGCCGTGCACGCTAGCTCACGTCCAAAGGATACAAATCAAGGGCCACTTACAAGAAACCGTGCCAAGAAACTACAAGAGCAGGTGAATTCATTCCTAACTGATTGTAATTTTAACCCTTCTGAGAATGTTATACTACCTAAATGTCCTATCTTGATGATGCATAGGTTTACACATGAAGACATGAAAGGCACATGGCCTAAGGATCAAGACACGGTGCTACAAAATAGCTCCGTCGAAAAGGTAACATGGGCAGATGACTGGACCTAGGAAAAAGTAACACGGATGACAAGTAACACGGACGGATGACCGGACCCAGGAAAAAGTGACACAGAAGGTCAATAGTCTGTTAGGGGCAGAATTTGGTACAACTTCCCATGCAAAATTGTACCAATCTACAAAGTTTCGTGGTGCATGCTGCACATGGCTGGAAAGCTCTTCCAGTCTACTTTCACACCCAACAAACGATTCATCATTTGGACTTCCTAATAAGGAGTTATGGCTAGATTAGTGGACACTACTCTAGAGGCCAACAGTTACGAGAAGACCACTTCGGGAATCCATTTTGAGGGGACCTTTCACATTGCCTATCTTTAGAAACTCCATTTCATTTTCACACCTAACTAGGAGGGTTCTTCCTAGTATAAATATCCCCTGCCTCTAAGCTATTAGGAACCTTTTGACGATTTGATAAACTGCATGATATTGCAGCCGAGCTGCCGAGTGCCTTACTTAAACCTTTGTTCTTCCTTGTTCTTCTTTGACTTATGAAGTGATCCCTCTAGGTTCCCCTAGTTCGTGCTCTATGGTTTCCAGTATAGCTGCACCGTTTTGTGTGGATTAGTTCTAGATTGTGGTTCTACGGTCATTCGGAGATCGAGTCGAAGTCTTCGTGGTTTCGGTGCCTCTCTCCCTGTCGCTCGGTTGCATCCAACTTTTGTTAGGTATAAAGCTAGTTATCCCGCTGTTCGCAACAAGTTATCTTTGATTCATGACCTACTGTCGTGAAGATTGAGCCACCCTCAAGGACGTTCCTTATCATCTGGTATCAAAACTTTCGTTGTCACGGTAGGTCTCACCATCATCCACATATTTTCTTTTGATTTATCCATCGTTTGCTACTATTTTTGTTCATCACCTAAAGTCCACTAAAAAAGCCACAAAAAAATCCTATAACCATTTGGTGGTACTGCTATCTTTGTGTTGTTGTGTTCATCAAGTTGCTAGTCATCATCTTCATATATTTTGCGTTGTATTCCATTTCTTATCCGCACCCCTGTTAGTATAAAAAAATCTGAAAAAGAGAGAAGAAAGAAGAAAGAAAGATTAAAAAAAAAGCGAAGTGAAAAGAATTGAAAGTAGGGGCTATGTTGCGGGTTGTATAATTGCAAATTCCAGTTTACATATTCAAGTTGGAGGTAATCTCCGTGTAAGCAACTTCATATCTTTTGAACACATCAAACCACTTGAGTTGCAGTACCGTAGCCTCCCTTGATTAGCCACCTATAGATCCACCAAAATCTAAAACCGGGACGTTCGACTCGTAATCCTTGCGACCTCTCAATCACTTTCGTTGAGCTGCTACACTACCACACTCATTGTCCTTGAGAACAAGCAAGAGCATTGGTAAGTAAGAGGTGAGGTTGTGTGATTCCACAAATTTACCTATTCCACTTTTCTTGTATAAGTGTTAACATGTCAGGATCCAATTTGAGTATTCATGGCTGTCATCATGGAGAAGAAGAACCCCTTGTTGCATGGGCTGAGTTGCATGAAATGGCAGACTCGCTCTTGGAGGCCATGGAGAGGATGCTCGATGCACGCATGCCTGTAGACGGACGAAGGGCTCCTCGGCATCAATATGATGAATCTGGTGGTGAAAATTCTGATGTGGGACATGACCGTTTCAGGGATGGTCATGGTGGTGGAATGTGGCCTGGTCATCATGGTCGAGATGGAGGACAAGCTCATGGGCGTGGTCGTGACCACCGTGTGCATTTTGACGATGAAGAATTTGATGATTTTGATCATGTAGAGGGATCTAATGATAATGAAAATCCCTTTGCAAATGATGGGTTGTTTGAGCAGCGCCGAGATCGTCGCCAGCGTGTTGATCATGAAGATAGGGAGCATCATCGTGGTTGTCATAATAGGGATGATCTGGACAGCATTGCTCGTGTCAAGTTGAGTATCCCAAAATTTATTGGAAGAGAAGATGCAGATGCATATCTTGAGTGGGCTGAGCAGTGTGATCAAATTTTTAGAGTGCATAATCTCTCTGATCAGAGGCATGTCAATCTTACTTTAGTTGAGTTCTCTGGTTGTGCTCTCACTTGGTGGAATCAAATACAGGAGAATCAACTTGTGTTGGGTCATGAACATATCAACACATGGGAAGAGATGAAGCAAGTTATGAGAAGGCGATTTGTACCCTCAAGCTATCAGCATGACCTTCGCAATAGGTTGCAAATGTTGAAGCAGGGAAAAAGATTGGTTGATGAGTATTATAAAAAGATAGAGTTGCTGTTAGTGTGGGCTGGAATTAGAGAAGATCCGGAGTAAAAAATGGCAAGATTTTTGGGTGGTCTCAATGAGGAAATTTCTGGTTTTGTTGAGATGTTTCCATATCATACTTTGCAAGACGTTGTTGATCAAGCTATGTGCACTGAAAGAAAGATTCAGCAAGAGGCACGTGGAAGATCTTATGCAAGCCATTCCTTTTGCAGCCCCATGGCGCAAGCAGCAGCTGGTACTTCTTTTGATGGGGCTCGGTCCCAAGGTGCTGCAGCTAGGCCCTCTCCATCCATTGCTCCTTCGAAGATGGTGGCTTCTACAGCATCATCACCTGCAAACCAACAACGGCCTGCTGCAAGTATAGCAGCCCCAACTATTGCTTCAGCTGCTACTTCCTCTACACGTAGCAGAGAAATTGTGTGCCACAAGTGCCATGGTCGTGGACATGGTGCTGCTCAATGTCCAAGTAGGAGGACCATGATTGTGAATGAGCATGGTGAATGGGAATCTGAAAGTGATCCTGAGGAAGATGGTCCAAGATATGATGAAGAACTTGAAACTGATGAGAATGAGATCTAACTCAATGAAGGTGATAATAATTGCTTTATTTCTCTTCGAGTGCTTAGTGTTACTATTGTGAAAGAAGAGAATGGGCAGCGACACAATCTCTTCCATACTCGAGGCATGATCAAAGACAAGTTGTGTAGAATTATTGTTGACAATGGCAGCTGTAACAATATTGCAAGTCAAGAATTGGGGCTAAAACAATGTTGTCATCCTAATCCATACAAGATGCAGTGGCTTAATGATTGTGGTGCGCAACGTGTGAACCATGTTGTGACAGTTTCTTTCTCTATTGGGAGGTATAATGATCATGTGGAGTGTGATGTGGTGCCTATGCAAGCATGCCAACTGCTGCTAGGAAGGCCATGGTTATATGATCGTGATGTTCAGATTTTTGGAAGAACCAACAAGCTAGCTTTCATGTATAAAGGAGAGCAAATTTCTTTGCTTCCTTTGACACCGGAGAAGATTTTGAAGGATGATCAAAAAAGAAAACAGCGAGAGAGAGAGAACCACTTGCGAGTGACCCACAAATATAGTGAGGGAGTGATTGCAAAGCCAAATAAAACCCCATAGTTGCAAAGAACCAAGACAACGGGAAAAGAGGGATTAGTTATGATGGCTAGGAAGGGGGATTTAAAAGAATTGAGTGAACCCAATGCCATGTTCTTTGTACTCCTGTACAAGGAAAATTTTCTTTCTACTAACGACTTATCCTCTACTTTGCCAAGTGTTGTTTTTAATGTGTTACAGGAATATGAGGATGTATTTCTAGATGAAGTACCACTAGGGCTGTCACCTAAGAGAGGGATCGAATATCAAATTGACCTTGTTCCCGGTGCTTAACTTCCAAACCGAGCTGCATACCGCAGCAACCTAGAGGAAACAAAGGAAATTCAGCGACAAGTGGAAGAATTGATCAAGAAAGGGTATGTGCAAGAAAGTCTTTCACCTTGTGTTGTTCCTGTTCTTTTAGTTCCCAAGAAAGATGGTTCATAGAGAGTGTGTGTTGATTGTCGAGCTATTAATAACATCACAGTACGATATAGACATCCCATTCCTAGACTTGATGACATGCTTGATGAACTTAGTGGTGCTATCATTTTTACAAAAATGACTTAACTGGTTATCACCAAATAAGAATGCGAGAAGGGGATGAGTGGAAAACAACTTCTAAAACTAAATTTGGGTTGTATGAATGGTTGGTAATGCCTTTTAGATTTACTAATGAACCAAGTACCTTCATGAGATTGATGAATCATGTGCTTAGAGCTTTCATTGGCAAGTTTGTTGTGGTTTACTTTGATGATATATTGATTTACAACAAGTCCCTTGTTGAACATGTTGAGCATATCCAAAGTGTGCTTGCTGTCCTAAGTGAGCAAAAATTGTATGCTAACCTTGACAAGTGCACATTTTGCACCGACAAGGTAGTCTTTCTTAGCTTTGTTGTTTTAGGCCAAGGTGTTGAGGTGGATGAGGAAAAGATCAAAGCTGTTCATGAGTGGGTGCCTCCACAAAATGTGAGCCAAGTCTGGAGCTTCCTCGGACTTGCTGGTTTTTACAAGCGATTTGTGAAAGATTTCAGCACCATTGCTACTCCAATCAATGAGTTGACAAAGAAAGAAGTGCCTTTTAAATGGGGAGAAGCACAAGAGAAGGCATTTGAAGAGCTGAAAATGAAGTTAAAAATAGCCCCATTCCTTGCACTCCTAGATTTTGGTAAGACATTTAAAATTGAATGTGATGCCAGTGGTGTAGGGATTGGAGGTGTGCTCATGCAAGAAAGGTGGCAGTTGCATACTTCAGTGAAAAGCTAAGTGGTCCAACTCTGAACTACTCAGTTTATGATAAAGAATTATATGCTCTTGTATAAAGTTTGGAAACTTGGCAACACTACCTTTTACCTAAAGAATTTGTGATACATTCAGACCATGAATCTTTGAAACACCTTAAAGGATAACTAAAACTGAACCGAAGACATGCAAAATGGAGTGAATTCATTGAGTCTTTTCCATACATTGTGTAACACCCCAGGTGTTTGTCACTAGTTAAGCAATGGGTTTAAGCTCAACCATGACATGTTAAGTGGTGTTGGAGATGCCAAGGTCAAACCTATGGAAATAAGCCCCAACCTAAACTCGGATATTGCACCCTTGCTTTACATATAGTCCCTTTTCAAGATATATGCTTGACTGGTGTTATTGGAATATCTTCATGTGTCTCACATCAATACCCATCTATATGGATCACTAGAAAAGTTTCATGAAGTTTGGAATCAAAAAGTCACATGAAATGATAAGTTATATCCTTATTGGAATGATTTTACTAAGTGCTTGAATTGCACTATTAAGTGAATGAGAACATGAGATGTCAACCAAACCTTGCAACCTTGCCAAAATGACTCTAGATGAACTCTACAACAAAAGTCATGAAAGGTTCATGTTGGGCAAATGCTAAGAAAATGCTCCAATGGATCAAAAAGGATAATTTAAGCTTCATCGTGATCCTACTTTGGTCAAAGTAGAACAGCAAGTTCTATACCAGTTTTGAGGTTGGACCTTAAATGAAAGTTGTAGTCCATATCATGTAGAACAAAGTTTGTTTTTGGACTAAGAGCTAGATCAGCTTGGAACTAAGTCAAATAGAGGCTCGAAAATTGAATCAGCGGCTATTTTTAGACTTAGAATATTTCTAAGTCTAGAATTCATCGTCGTCGCCATTGGCATCTTGCGTTCTCGTTATTTTGTTAAGCAAAGTGAGCAGGTCCCAAAATAAAAGTTGGAGTATACATGATGGAGAAAAGCATGTATGAAGATGACACTCAGTTGACTTCATTTTGCCCATCAATTTCTGGAGGTTGTTAATCGCCGTTAATGCACTGACACTGCCATCTTGGAGTGTCATTAGCCGCTAATCTACTGCTCTAATGACCATGCAGCCTTAATCAAGTTTGTAGAGCATCCAGAGTAGAGCAACTTTGCTACTGGCGCCAAGGTCCGAATGTGCATGGAATATGCCGAAAACGGACTCCAAGTCGGGCTCCATCGCGCGCGCCACGTGTTCGACGAAATGGCGTCGTGGCAACCATGCACCGGAGCGCGCCCGCCATGGCTGACGCGCATCCAAGCTTTGCGCCATGCGCTGTCTCATGCCCTGCTCCTCCAAACTGAGCGCCCGAGCTCTCCGCGTCCACTGGCTCTCTCTGGAACTCCCTCGCGCACGCCTTCGCCCTCCTTTGCTCTGCTGCCGCGGGCGCCACGGCCTTGGCCGCCATTGCCAAGCGGCAGAGCTTCTCCCAACCACCGCCTGGCCCCTCTGCGGTGCCATGCCTTGCTGCTCGCTCCACCCCGTCGCTCCCTTCTCCCTTCTCCACCATGGCACGCGTGCTCGTTCGATCCAACACTGCCGGGGACCGCTCGTCGCCGTGGGCAGCCATGGGCGCAGCCCTCCCTACGTGCGTGGCTGGGCACAGCAGGCCCCAGCTGGCCAAGACCGGGCTAGGGCATGGCCATGGCCGAGCTGGCCGCCCCCCTTGCCGCGATGCCCTTTCCCCAGCCGGCCGGTGCAGCCGCTGGCCGATCCCGACGGCAGCAGCGCTCCTCTGTATCTCGTGTGTTCGGCCTGAAGAAGAAGAGGGTCTGATCGTAAATAGAAACTTTTTAACGTGTTCACTTTGTAAAATAGCCAGACACAAGAAGTTACATTTACGGGCTTGGTTGATTTGAGTAAAGTCCAGGGTTCCCAATGCAAAAGCGTTTTCTTTTCGGTTTAATCTTTTAATGGCAGATTTTTGTGCTGAACTTTAGAAAATCGTAGCAATTAGTAGAAATATCATAAAATAGTAAATGAGTACTTTTTGGAATCCTTGTGAAATTATATATGCACTAGATCTATAATATTACATGTTTTAGTTTAAAGGTTTAGCTGTGAAAATAGATTTATGCAGTTAGGTTTTTAATGCTAGTTGTATTTGTCTTTTTCATAACTGTAGTTCTTTTGCTCAAATAAATGTGAAATTTTTATGGAGTGCTCAAAAGGTGATTGTTGTTGTCTGGTAAAAATTTCAGAAGTGTAGGATTTATATTTTTAGAGTTATAAAAATAACAAATGTACTGTATTGCTTTGCTCCAACCCTGAATAGTCCTGCATGCTTGAATTAATTGGCTTAGTTAAGTTATGAATCATGACTTTATGATAATACTTGAGTTGCAGTACGTTTATTAAGCTTTTCTTAACCAAAAATCTTGAGTTATACTTGCTTAAATCTATGTGGCTGTTTCTGCCCAAACCCAGAGAGGGTTTCCTTATTCTTACTGTGGGGCCTTCTTAATAGTAGAATTAGCTTTAGGTGTTTACAACAAAGTTGTTTAGAATTTGATAAGATTTCTAAAAAGTCTATAACCACATTTATTAGACATGTATAACTCCATTTATAGCTGTTTAAAGTGGCATATCAGTTTCTGTCTATGTTTTGGACAGAGATGCAATTATTGGATTAATTGACCCTTCTAACTGTAGAATCATCTTAATCTGAGAATAGGAAAGTTGTAGGTAACTTCCTAAGATTTTCAAAAAGTTATGGTTCATGTTTGTTGGAGGTCTAGAACTCCAGTTATGCTTCTCTGAAGTTCCTATCAGTTTTCTGTACCACTGTTGTTGGGTTGCATTTGTAGTTTTGCTTGTGCAATTATTTTCGTGGTGTAAATGATGTTTGCTATGGTTGTAGTGAATACAAATGTTGTAGAAAATTTCATGATCTTGCTTGTGTTCAACTTATAAGGCCATAGGCCTGACAGTGTAGGAGTTACATGACTTTTAAGTCTTCTGTCAGGTTTTGATTGTATTCTGAGCAGATCTGAAGGATGCTAGTGTTTGATCTAGTTAGGGTTTGAATGAGCTTTTGGTGATAATAACAAAGTTGTATATAATTCATGTATCTAGCTGCTGTTAAAATTTGGTGGTATTTGGTTTTGTGGTTTGTGAGTTATGCCTGTTTAAAGTTGGGTTACAGA